TCACAGCTCCTGCTTCTCCGGGGCTGGCATTTGCTCCACCTTCGGGGGCGCGCGAATCCAGGTCAGCGCAAACCCTTGGCCAGGCAAGGGTCAGCGCCGATCCCGGGGCACCCAAGGGCCCAGCCCAGGTCAGCGCTGACCCAAGACAGGCTAACCCAGGTCGCGAGCTCTGACCGGCCGCAAAGTATGAAGAGGCCCAGGGATACACAAACAAATAGACACACATCCCAATATTCCCCATCTTTTTCCATATCTATATATATATAGAGAGAGAGAGAGAGAGAGAGAGAGAGACCCCCCCCCACCCACACACACACACTTGCCTTACTTTCCCAGATCTCCTTGGGGATCGACGATATATTGTCTGTGCGTGTTTCTCCCCCCTGAGAGTAGCTCCCAACCCTGGGTCCGCGGAGGGGGTAGAGGAGCGGCGCACGGCTACCAAGTCTGGGCCAGCCAGAGCGGATCGGATGGGAATTGGTTGACCTCCGTTACGTGCACCCGACTCGGCGGCGGGCGATGGGGGGAAGTGGGACGGTAGAAGGAAACAATTAGTGGTGGACACTCCACCTCCACCCCCTCCCCCAAACTCAAGGTTGGCATGCGCGGGGAAGACTGCGGTCGAAGTGCAGCTCGTACAACCCGCCGCCAACATTGACATTTGGGGGGGGTGGCATTGACAGGTGAATGCGGCATGAATGTTCGCTGATTTCTTCCGAGGCCTGGAAGGAGGAGGCCTTCTCAGAAGGCGGCGGGGCTTCTCAAAGCCCTCTGGCCGTCCGAAGAGTCTCCTGTGTCTCCGGGGAAGGCTTAGAGCACCTCTCAGAATGCTGTGGAACTTGCGAGCCTTCTGAGAAGGCCCGCCCCGTCTCACTTCCCTTATGTCGGGCGTGTCCCCCTACAGGGGGATTTTCGAGGAAAAATCGAAAATAGTCAAAACATACCCCCACATGGTCAAAACAAATTCAAAAAATCGTCCCCAGACTATTTTTGGATATTCCCCCTGTAGACGGACGGGCCCGACTTAACACTTCCCCCCCCCAGTCTCGCCGCCGGCCGACGCCTCCGCGAACCACGCCTCCCGCTTCTGGAGCTTCTCGTAGTCCGAGATCCTGGCCTCCACGACCGCCTCTGCGGCCCTCGCCTTGGCCCTGATCTCCTCCCACTTGCTGACGATCTCGTCGTCGGAGAGGCGCTGGATGGACTGCAGGAACTCCCTGTCCTCTGGCTGGCAGTGCTCGAGGGTCCTCGGGGTGCACTGCGGCTTGAGGCCCGCTGCAAACTTGCTTATCGCACTGTAGGTGCGCTCGCCGGGGAACTCTGCCATGCCGTCGGGCTCCGTGGGGTCCCCGTGCTTGATGGTGGGATAGCCCCTCACGTTGTGGTCCTTGCAGAGCTCCTTGCCCGCACCGATGCAGTCCACGTCGCCCACTATGATGGTCCTGGAGTCCTCGTACTCTTCCATCAGCCTGTCCCAATCGGGCTTCATCTTCTTGCAGTGGCCACACCATGGGGCAAAGAACTTGACGAAGGCGGTCTTGCCCATCGTCATCTCGTCCCAATTCTTTCTGGTGAGCTCCACCGCGCCGGAACCAGCAGAGGCGAGCCCCAGCAGAAAAAGACGCGACAGCAGCATCGCAGCTCCAGCGGAAAATAGCCCCCGATCGTGACTTAAGGGGGCGTAGCTTGAGCGACGCCTGCTTGGGCCAAAATGACCTACTGAACACGAATGATGTGCAGGGAGGGTCTTGCTGCACATCGCCAAAACGATATCGTTGAGTACCTGCGCCCTCGCCACTCTCTCCCTCCTTCTGCCGATCCTGAAACGAGCATCCCGCTTGCACGCGCCGCCTACGAGACAAGCGCCCTGCGCTTTCAACACCGTCTTCACGGAGCTCCGGGCGCGTGAGGGCGACGAGCTCTGCAGAAGGGAACACACATCTAGACAATGACCCCCGCCTTTCCATTTCCTGCTGCCGGGCGCAGAGCTGGCTCACCACGAAGACATTTCCGCTGGCCACTCGAGCACAAATTGGTGCACCTCTGCGAACGGCCAACGCCATCACCAAGCGGACGCACCTTCACCCCCGCCCCCGCCCCCCCGAGCTACCTCCCACCCCCCACCCCGACACACGAGGTCCGCCCCCTCAGATCCAACCATATGTGGACGTAACGAACGCAATTTTACGTATTTGTATCGATCGACCTCCCGATAGGGCCACGAAGCGTGTGAGGGGTTTGCCGACATGAATGCCATGCGAGCGCAGCCACTTGGGCCTTCGGTGAAGCTCCATCTGGGGCCACGACACGTGTGAGGGGTGTGCCAGCATGGGTGCGGCGGGCGCATGCGAGCGCAGCCACTGGGGCCTTCGGCGGATCTCCCTATGAGCCCAAGAAGCATGTGAGGGGTGTGCAGAAACGAGTGCGGCGGGCGCATGCGGGCGCAACCACTGGGGCCTTCGGTGGATCTCCCTATGAGCCCACGAAGCGTGTGAGGGGTGTGCCGATATGGGTGCAGCGGGCACATGCGAGCGCAGCCACTGAGGCCGTCGGTGGCGTTCCCGGTGTGGCCACGACACATGTGACGGGTGTGCCAACATGGGTGCGGCGGGCGCATGCGAAAGGCAGCCACTTGGGCCATTGGTGGAGCTCCCTATGGGGCCACGAAATAAGTGAGTACTGTGCCGAAATTGGTACGGCGGGCGCTTGCGAGCGCAACCGCTTGCGTCTTCGATGGGACTCCTCACGGGGCCGCGAAACATGTGGGGGGTGCCAAAACAGATGGCGATGATGATAGTGATGACGACGGCGATCGTGAGGATGATGATTATGATGCTCATACTGATGAGGATGGTAATGATGATGGTGATGATGATAATGCTACTGCTGACGATGATGACGCTACGGATGACGATGCTGCTGCTGATGATGATGATGGTGAATGATGACGGTGATGATGCTGCTGATGATGATGATGTGGATGCTGAACATTATGGTGAGCATGATGACGCTGATGAGGCTGCTGCTGCTGATGATGATGATTATGCTGATGGTGGTACGGATGACGACGATGCTGATGATGTGGACGAGGATGGCGATGATGAAGATGATAATGCTGATGGTGGACGTTCTGCTGATGACGATGATGGTGATGACGATGAATCTGATTATGCTGATGATGGTGATGATGATGACGATGGTGGTGTTGGTGATGATGATGAGTATGGCGATGGTGAGGATGCTGATGATGATCGTGACAATGATACTGCTAATGATGATGATGCTGATGATGATGACGATGCATGCGACGACGGTAACGATGACGTATGACATGACGACGACGCCGACGATGACGCGGGCGATCATGATGCTGATGCTACTGATGATGATGCTGATGCTGCTGCTGGTGATGATGATACTGGTGATGGTAATGATGATGATGATGCTGATGATGATGATGATGATGATGATGATGATGGTGGTGGTGGTGGTGGTGGTGGTGGTGATGCGGGCTGGGGGAGGAGGAAGGAAAGAAGTAACGCGGGGCGCTGTCTGTTCAAAGCGATGACCCAACACCACAGGATGGTTGGACAAGACTAGCCTACCCCGTCAACGACGAGATGCGCGGAGTCCCACCAGCCCTTTGGGTTAAGGTGGTCTAGCTACATCTCTGCCCTCTTCCAGGACCATCTTCACCTTCGAGAGGGGTACACGCCACTCCCTGAGATTGTTAGGGGTGTTTCGCAATCGGTCAGGGCGCCAAAGATGGCTCCAAGAGGAACTCCTGTGCTCCAAAATGGCTTCCAAATCGGCTCAAGATAACCGAAGATGGTTCAAGATTGCTTCCGACATTCCTCCAAGATTCCCGACGAGTGCCACAAGACGGCTCCAAGTGCTCTCGGAGCCCTCTCAGGACCACCCTCTGGTAAAACCTAAAGAACATCAATGAAGTTTGAATTCTCGCCTTTTCGCTTCCGATGCGCTTTAGCGGCTTCAAGATGGCCCCAGGATGGCCCGAGAGAGGCCCTGGAGGCCCCCCCAGAGGCCCCAAGAGCGCCCAAGATCGACCCAATAGCGTCCAAAGAGGGCCTCAAGAGACAATGTTGATGGCCCCGGGGGGGACAGAAATCTAGAAAGAGTGCCAAGAGGGCTCCAAGAGGCGATTTGAGGGCTGTGTCCTCGTCCTTGCTGTCATCTTCCTCCCCCTCCTCCTCCTCGACCTCGTTCTCGTCCTTGCCCTCATCGTCTACTTTGTCTTAGTCCTCCTCTTCTTTTTCTTCGTCGTGGTGGTGGTCGTCGTCCTCTTTCTCCTCGCGGACCTCGCCGACCTCAAGAGTGCCTGGTCAAGCAAGGCTCAGCCGACACTCTACGACAGGAAAGGGCCTGCCACCCGAAGCACAGGGCGAACACGACGGAGCCACAAAGGCCAGGACCGCCTTGCTGGCACCGTGGCGCAGGGCAGGTCAGTGCACTCAGTCAGAACCGACAGACTGACTCATGGCACCGATCGGGGGGAGAGAGAGGTCCTTCGTCCTCCTCCTCCTCCCTCAAAATCGCCCGCACCTGGGCGAGGTGATCGGATGCGGACGGCGCAGGAGCCGGAACCACCTGACTTGGGCCAGCCTGGGAGGGAGAACGGGAAGGGGGGGACGGAGGCAGGGGAAGAAATGAGGAACGACTGCCCAAGCCTGTGGGTGGATCCTGGAACCTTCCCCTGCAAAAGCTTAGAACGCTCTGAGCTCTTCTTGGGGTGGGTACACGGCTTACGGAGGCGCTCGCTACCACGACAGGAAGCGAATCCTTCGCACTGAGCACAGAAGATATATGGAACACCTGAGCCCAGCTCTCGAATTAGCCCAATGAAGCTTGTGCCCAGGACCCGCTCGACCCTGGAGAAGGCCCGAAAGAGACCGATTCTCACCTTCACATGGGCTGGTGGAACTCAGTCTTCTTTCTCCTCCTTCTCCTCCTTCTCCTCCTCCTCCTTCCCTCGCCCCTACGTGGGCCCCAGGGATGGCCCGACGAGGCCCTCCAAGGCCACCCCCTTGCTCCCAGAGATCTCTCTGTCCACCCTGGTTGCCCGCTTTGTTTTACCACATGTGCCTCTTCGTCCCTTTCCCCGCCAACTCTCATGGGCAAATTTCTGAATGAGCTGGTGTAGAGGCCACCTAGATAAAGGTCCGGGTAGATGGGGTCGGAGGATCGCGCCGCATCACCAATTCATCGCCGAAGAATCGACGACGCACCAGCATCGCCGATGCCTCGTCGTGCGCCGCCGATGCATCGGCGACGCCGTCGGTGTATCGGCGACGCCGGCGCGGAGAAAATCGGGCGCCTCGCCGATGCATCGGCGATGCGGCGCGATGCTTCGATCCCCGACCCGTCCGCCCGACCCGCCCTCTTCCTGGCCCGCCCGCCCGGTCCGCCTGGTAACGTCCGCCCGCCCAGCCAGCTCGCCCGTCAGTTCGGCCCGCCCGGCCCGCCCGCCCGACCTGCCCCACAGGGCCCGCTCGCCCGACACCGACCCGCTGGCTTCTCGGTTCCGCTCGCCCGGTCCGCCTGGTAGGGTCCGCCCGTACCGTTGCTCGGAAGCCCGCCCGCCTGCGCTCATGTCACGCCCGCCGGGTCCCGCCCATTGAGGTCCATCCGCCCAGCCTGCCCGTTGGGGTTCGCCCGCCCGACCCGACCCGACCCGTTCGGGATCTACCCAAGAGCAGCCATGTACAGGGGAGCCTCCCCGAAGGGGGGTGCGTTCATGAACGAAGAGGGCGGGGGTCGAGGGCTTGTACGTATAAATGCTGAACGAAGCGCGCTCAGCGAAGAGAGCACAGCCTCATAATGATTGTCGGTGGTGCTTCGATGCGGGGCCCCAGAAGTCCCTCCCGCTTCTCCGGGGATTTCTTCAGCCGAGGGGTGCGGCCCTGGGACCCTGACGGGCCTTTTGAGGCTGACGCTGGCGAACAACCTGCCCTGGCCTCCCCGAGATATTGGAGGCCTGGATCCTCCTCCTCCGCCTCCGCCTCCGCCTCCGCCTCCTCCTCCTCCTCCTCCTCCTCCTCCTCCTCCTCCTCCTCCTCCTCCTCCTCCTCATCCTCCTCTCCTCCTCCTCCTCCTCCCTCCTCCTCCTCCCTTCCTCCTCCTCTCCTCCCTCTCCCTCCTCCTCCTCCTCTCTCCCTCCTCCTCCTCCAGACCTCCCGCGCGCCCCCCCCCGCGCGCGAGCGCGCCGGCTCCTGGCGGCCCTCCGCTCCCGCGCCCGCGGCGGCGGGCGCGGCCGGCGCCGGCGGCGCCCCCGGCGCGGTGGGCGCGGCGGCGGGCTTGTGGCAGATGCGCTTGTGGAAGCGCCAGTCGTCCTGCGGCGGGGGCGCGCGCGCGTGCGCGTGCGCGTCCGGCGGCGGGGCGGTGGCCGGCGCCTCGGCGCGCCGATGCACGCGCTGTAGGGAAGGGGCCCAAGGACACGCACGATTCAATACACACACACAAATGACAGGATTCCCAAATGTTTCCCATGTTTTCTGGGTTTCGTCTTCCCCCCCACTTCCCACATTTTCCCACATTTTCCTGGGAGTCGACGATTCATTGTGTCTGTGTTTTTTTTCCCCTCCTGATATAGGCACACGCCGCGAGGCGCCCAGGGGGCCGCC